AGTTTACTTTTATTTCAACTGAAAGTGTTTGTTGAACAAATTCAAAGGTCCATCCGACCAGAAGACGACATAAAATCCCTCTTGATCGACTGTCGATTTGCTTTACTAGAACATTCTTGTTGACATTGTTGCCGAGGAAATCGCCTTCGATTCCGGTGAAAATATGCCCGTCGTATGGCAGACACCATCAGAGCAGAAATAGAATGTATGTACAGCATTTATGCTTGAACCGGTAAGTTTCTTAACCCGTTAGCTTGAGTATGATTGTAAGTATAATACCGTTTTCTGATGCCGTCTGTCATAGGACGAACGAAAGTTTAGAACATTTTCGCCAAAATCGAAGGAGATTGCCTAGAAATGGCATTAAAAAGAATGTTCCAGTAAAGCCGTCGTCTTCTGGTGGGATCGACTTTAAAATCCCTCCATTAAACACTTTTACTCTAAATGGCAATGACTCAACAAAAAATTATTTACCACTAAAATTGACGACATTAATTATTTTCAAAGTTGTTTTATAAAGTAACACCAATTCTTGGTTAAGTACTTCCTCACTCTAGTTGAATTAAGGAGGGCAAAAAGTGGATATTTTCCTTAGACGAGTCGCATTAAATTGTTGCAAAAACTTCTCATTCATTCTTTATGTTGCCTTAGATGACCTAGAGTAAATATGTACTTATTTAAGAATTACGCATAGTTTGAAGACATGTTTACGCCAAATGTAAATAAGATCCTTGATTCTTTAATTTTTCCCCAGTCTAATCATCATCACCTTATCATCACCACTATCACTATCGTTACCAATTTCATCAGCATCAGTCCGATAGACTCTTCTTTCAGGCAGATGCTTTGTCAACACTTCCGCATCCTCTTTCAGGCACAGAAAACCAATTAGTCTAAGAGAGTTAAGGAAACGACTTGATTTGGAACATTAGCTTTAAAATACAACTATAATCTAATCTGAACTGCTCTTTCAACTTCAATTTAATCTCATCGCATGACCATATTCATTTCAAGCCTCTAATTGCTTGCCTACTGGAGTCGGTCACATGTTCGTCGGCATACCAAATGTCCACACTTCTACCACCCTCGGAATCATTTTCTTCTTTCCGGTCGTCGCCATCTTCAGCTTCAGTCCTACCTTATCATCAACCCCACAGTCATCATTACCATCTCAGTTCACCTCGTCCAACTTTGTACTGGAATACAACTTCCCAGTGTTGCTATGCCAACAGGAAGATAGTTTTCGGCCCCCCGCGGCCGGCCAAGCATAAGCGGTCGCCTCGACGTTGCACCCCGGGAGGTGACACTCATGTGCACATGTAGGACGAGTTGAATGGTTCTATGAAGAGCCCGACTCAGTTGATGGCCTCATTCCCTACTGACCCAAATGGTACAAGTGTCCTCACAAAAGGTAGACTTTCACCTGTTTTGGGCACGCCGAATTACCACAAAAATGGACAGAAAGGTGAAGAGAGCGTGTAAAAAAGGGCTAGAAGAGAGAAGAACACGTTTTGCTTCCTTCCATCAAGTTCAGACAATATTCACTCTTGACGGCACGGCGAGTTACATCTTGTCGCCCAATTCCCCTCGGCTTGACGACATCATATTATTTAGTCAAATTTCCAAAATATCCACATTCCAAACAAAAAACAGTACTAGCTGGTGCAAAAGTGCATATTTGGCCTATTAGCATTTTGTCCCTATTAGCTCTTCAAGCAAACTTTGGGCATCCATCTTCTGCACGTACGAGTGATCCCCGAAGGTAGCAGAAATACCAGGCTTCCTCGATGTCATATTGCTCGTCTCTCTGTTTACCAACCACGCGATATGGTACTGCGTCAAGTGAACCAGTTACCTCATATTCTTCGTTGAGACATGACGGTCAATAGCGACAAAATGGCCAATTATGGTCCACACGAACACCAATCATGGCATGCTTAAACATGTTTCAGTCCAAATGATAAATTTTATCCCCTACTCTCTCTCTCTCTCTTACATTAACACACAAGAAAGCCTATATTGACATATACATATTCACACATAAAAATGAACATGCACATCCGGTAAACATAAATAGGCATTTACACTTTAGCACACATTTACAATCAAGTTTGCAGACAGTTCTCAAGACGGTGTTTTTCTCATGTTTTTTACGTAAGTATGCTACCAAGCTAGCCTTGATTTGTAGATAGAAGTGTAGTATTCATAGGTTGGTAAAAGTAATTTAAGGATTGATAATCAAATTTCCCGCAAATACATAACTGGATATTACGATGCCATTTTTATCTAGCACAAAGTTCATTTCTAGCAAAAGTTTTTCTCATCCCTGTTTTATCAGAAACCCTAACGGGATTCGTAAGCAACCTGATGACATTTTGCCAAATTACAACCCAATCACAAGTGCAGATTGCTTAATTGGTAGATAGGAATTTAAAGTCGCAGTCACAATGAGATTGGAGAAGAGACAAGCTAAAATCTACATTTTAATTAAGTAGGATTTTGATAATATCACTAATAAAGTATTGATAAAGAATTTATCTACAATGAACTGAGTAAATCAATTTAACTTAGCCTAGTTTCCTGGATGAGCATACCTTTTGAATGCAGGACTAAGTGGAATTTATTTGTCTCGTCAACTTGGTATGGAAAAATTTACTACCATTTATTTACGCCTTAAGCGACCTAAGATGACTAAAGCTCATAAAATACTACTTACAACTAAAATCGACGGTACTACTTATTTTTCATATGAGTAGGTTTCGAAAGTACCCGTGAAGTCGTCAAGTGCTTGTGTAAACTAAAGGTTTTTGTTTCGTAAGTAGGCTTTCTGATATTGGACTTGTATTCACCCTATTTCATTTAAGATGATGAAGGGATGGTAATTGGATTTTGCCACAATCTGATGTAAAGGGCAGACGCGAATTCCATGGAAGTCTAGACCTTCCCGATATCACATTTATTTGGTGAGATTATTTGACAAAATAAAATTGTATTTGCCGTATAGATCGACCCGGGTTCGAGTCTTGCTGTGGCCTGACGGGGCCAGTCTAAGCGAGTTCAAAGCTGCAACCCACTCCTGCTCCCATGATAATTCATTTTAGGAAGCAAGGCTATGTGAAATTCAATGAAAGCCTGAGATCTTCTCATATGATTGTGGAAAAATTGAGCTGCGAGTCATTATTCACCTTAAACTAAATAATATGGTTGTATACAATTATATATGCATGATCTACTGGTAGTCTCGAAAAGCTTCTTGTGAAATGAAAAAAATGAGGCTATTTTGTAAATTTGTAATATGAACTGTTTTGCAATTCCCTTCTGCCCTACGACCCATGTCGCCCATGGCGAAGTATAGAAGTGGTGGCATTTCGCTGCCTTATGCTAAAAATGTGGTTTTAAATCTCTTTGATGGTGCGGATGAGATAAGGAGATCAAGTGAAAACCGCGGTCGAGTGAATATGAGCAACCTTTTGCCTGCATGACATTACAAGTTCCATCAGGCAACACTAAATTACATGTTTACGGTCAACTTTCAGCAAGAGAGGCAGGTTAGGAAGCTGTTCTTGAGGGAGGAGAGGATTGCTGTTACATTATTGTTGGGTAAACCCAACAAAGAGCCTGAGCCTCTTTTTGAGCTGGTCCATTTCCGACCGGCGATTCTGCTCATAACTAATTGAAAAGTATACTTTTTTCGCATTTAATTTAATTTTTTGTGCAATATCACGTGACTTTACGCGATCTTTCCATTCGAAATATCCTATCAGCCTAACGTTCGGAGGCAAGAAAGCGGATTTAGGCGTTTCTGTTGCCCAAACCGAGTGGACTGGCATTCCGAGAGAAGAAAGTTGGAAATGAAGATGATGCGTAGGGACGAGAGGGCAAGAACAAGGCAGAGCTGAGGAAGAAAGGTAGTGGGAGGCAGCGGCGATTCGGTTGACTGAGCATTTGATGTCGCTTAAAGTCGTTGACCATCTTTGCACCTGCCCAAGGGCATGGCAGACCTATACGGTGGACCTGTATGCCTGATTCCACTCAGCGAATGGCGAAAGTTAGTGAGCTCTTAGCCTCTTCTTCCTCATGTATCCTTTTGCGGAGGCATATTTGTATGCATGCCTTTGTCGGCCTATGTATATACACACACACACACACAAATAGGTGGTCTAGTTTTGTGTCCTTTTGCTCTCGTCATTGTGGTTTGTGTGTGTACAGTTATAAATATATATATATATATATGTGTGTATGTTTGTGTTTGTGTGTGTGTGTCAATTAACAGCCTCATCTGGCCAAAAGTGGGACCAACTTGATTGAGCCATCCTCAATTCTGGTTATGTGCATGTTTCTACCGGCAGACGCACAAAAGGAAGTAGGATCGCAAGAGTCAAGTTTGTCCAATTTTTTTTTGTTGGTTATTTCATTTCTACGAAGAAGCGTGTGCAGGAGACGAGGGCAACTGGCCGGCTAGAGCCCCACATGCCAGGACTAGGGGCCAAGAACGTCAAGTCGCGTGGTTGAAGTTTATGAGAGGAGTGATCCGGAAAACAGGATTGATGGGATAAACCTACCAGCCTCAGGTTATCAGAAAATCAACCTTGGCTGGTCTTGGGTTTGGACATAATCTCCTTTAGCTGCATGAAGCTATTAAGTTCACTCCCATTTTGAGTGAAAGTGTGTGATAAAGTCATCCATCTGACGATTCCTATTGGCTTTGCTAAAGCATTCTTGTCGGAGCTGTAGCCGGGGCAATCTCGTTTGGTGTGACATGAATTTATTTCGAAATAATGGTTAATTGGTTTCACCGGAAACCGAAGAAAGAGTGCATTGGAGTGGAGTGAAAACTGTTTGATTGCTCGAATAAGTCTTCGGCAACCTGCTCTGCGGCTCTGACGAAACAGTCCTTCCAACCAATTTTTTTATTTGAAATGAAAAGTAATGACACACCAAATGATTAAAGCATTCTTCGATGCCCAGTTTTTCTTCGTGATAAGCTCTTTGTCACAATTTTACGCGAAAGAGAAGTGAGTCAAGCAATTACAAAATAACTTTTCTTCACATTTCCAGTAAATCATTTATATGAAATGTTTTCACTTTATTTGGTTTGAGGTGAGGAAGGTCTGGTTGTTGAATTTTACCACAAATCATATCAGTAGACCTTAAGTTTCCATCAAATTTAACACAGCCATGCTGAAATGGACCGCTGCTTCGACCCTGTCTACGTCTTATCAGCACCCCCAGCGGGATTCGAACCATGATAGTTCAGCGAGTATTCTCGTCACGTTAGTCACTAAACCACATTTCCAGGAGTGCCCTTGGATCAAAGGGCAGATGGGAATTTCAAGCAAAGCCAGGCATTCTCACATATCACATTATTTAGCGAGATTGTCGATGTATCAAGATTATATTTGCTATGACAAGCGACTACACTACTTATTTTTCGTTTATAAGTAGAGTTTTGAGACTACCATACCCATACACAATTTTGTGTTTGCAAATTGTTCAGCATGTCGAGCAACATAATCATTCCTGCGTCCTCGACTGAATTAGTCATGATGAGTTCCAGCATCAGATTGCCGATTTGTCAGAGCCAAGTCACTCATCAGTCTTTCATCATTTTGAACCAATTATGGTGAATATATCTCAAATATTAGTGAAGTTGCCTTCATTTCGAATGTAGCTCAACCATCTCTCTATCCCTAAGAGACAAGTACCTTCGACGAGTTGTAATATAGTGCTACAATTGGTAAAATTCACTGACGATGCCGACTACGATGCCGGCGAAACGTCTGGGAATGTACCATGTCCACGGTCCGACTCTGGAAATAATTATGTACACAATGGACTCAGGACAAGATGCGTTTCTATCAGTCTTCCTACCAACATGACCAAGTTGCGAAAACAAGGTCAAACAACTTGTATTATTATTCAAGGTTTGCCAATGATTTCGTAAACTACTCTTTATGCATATAAGTAATATATTCGATTGGATTGGCTGAACACTAATTGGCCTCTTCGACAGGCTCACTATAAACAATTTGATACAATTCAGATGCACTTGTTGCCATGTGACGCTGTGTTGACGTGTCAAAATAATAAACTGTACTATCACAACCTGGGTGTGATTCGTGTTGGGGCTGCTGATGTGATGCAGATTAGATGAAAACGGCAGTCAAATCAAGCTGGGATGAGACTATCTTTTGAGAAAGAAGCAAGACTAAAAGAGCTGCAATGGAAACAGGAGGAGGACTGGAACTATTTCGAAAGACCCGAACGTCCAGTCAACACTTCTATGTAGTAGTTGAGTCAATTTTCGCTCACCGGAAGTCTGAAAAGACTGTCGGGATTCCAGCAAAAGTGACTTGAAATTCCCTTTCGTCCCCGTCTTTTCGGCTAAGCAGAATCGCCGGCAGAATTCGAATCAGCGCCGTGAGTCAACGCCAACCTGATCACCAACTGTGCTTTTCAATTGTCGTCGGCTCGAGTCTGCAAGCGATTGCCGGTGCGACGACTGCATCGGATCTGAAGATAAGCATCCACTTTTGACAAATCAGCCAGTTGCTTAGACCTTTATTTCGCAGCAAAAACATCAGAATACCGCCACATTCTACCGTTTCCAACGCATACTACTGTCATTGTTTGCGAGTAGGTCGTTTCGAGTTGCGACCAGGTGTTGCACCAACCCATGGCCTCCTACGCATGCCTTTTCCCCGGGGCGTGGTCGAGGCGTCACCAACTTTGGTACCACTTGTGGGGACGCGCAGACGGGCCGAGCCCTGTGCGTCGGTCGTACCCTTTTCCAACTACACACATGCAAAAACTAAATGCCTCAGCAGACTTTGCCAGTTGCACTCTCAGTCAGGCTCACATTCTTACGCAGCAGAGACGCAAACTATTCCTCCACTTCGGGGCCAGCTCCGCGAGGTGGCATGCATAATTTATGTGAATATTCAGTATGAATTATTGAAGTGAGTAATTGACATGACTAATTGAAATGAGCGATTGGTAGGCACAATTGTGGAGTGTGAGGTCGGCATTTGTGGGGGGAGGGCAGCATTGTTCTGTAGCCTCGGTGGTACCAATTGGTGAGGGCAATTGAGTGAAACTGCGCGGCCAGAAGTGGCCGGAATCGACGGACTCGAGGAGTGCTGCCGCCTGCGACGCGGCATGCGACGCGCCGAGGGGGCGACCGCGAGCTCTCGGACACGTGGCCGACACGCCTGACTGACGACATGTTTGCCCACAGCCTTTTGTGCCTCTCCAACTACCGAGAAGGCAGTATCCCATTGGTTGCGGCCGCCAGCCCGACTCCCGCTTCCAGTGTCGCCTCGAGTCCCGTTCCGAGTCTTGCCGCACGGCCCACATTCAACCTGGCCCCGAATCCACCTCCTCACTCCGAGCGCTGCTTT